TGAGGCTTTGTAGCCAAACACTAGCTTACCCCCAATTCAATGAAATCATGTGCATCCGTTCAATAACCAACACTCACTGAGGTTTGACTGATTGAGTTGGAGTCTCTCTCTGTTGCCCAGACTGAAGTGCAGTGGCACACTCACAGCCACTGCATCCTTGACCTGCAGATCTCAGGCAATCCTTCTGCCTCAGCCTTCCAAGTAACTAGATCCATAGGCATGAACTACCATGCCCAGCTGATTTTTAAAATTTATTTATTGTAGAGATGAGGTTTTGCCATGTTGCTCAGGCTATTCTCAAACCCCTGTGCTCAGGCAATAGTCTTGCCTCCACCTCCTAAAGTGTTGAGATTACAGGCGTAAGCCTCTGCACCTGGCTCACCGAGCCTTTAAAATGACCCCTACAGTGTGCTAAGCTCTTTAATATGCAATTTCTTTTAATCTTAACTTTATTTTTGATTTTTAAAACATTTTTACCTATCAGGTGGCTACCATCATTATCTGTATCATACAGGTGAGTGAGTGAGGCCCACCCAGATTAAGAAACTTGCTCAGAGCCACACAACCTGTACATCAAAGTAAGGACTGTCCGTCTCCAAAGTTCATTTGCAGAACTGAAAGTATGCCACTTCTTGTGAGAAGCAGCCTGAATTTCTTATCTGTTTGACCCTTAATTCATGCTAATCTGAACTTTCTGGATTCTAGGAACTTTCAAACACATGGAGCACCATTTATGTGAGTGTATTCAGCCAGTCTCCTTTGGAGAGGTTAACCCTTGCTGGGAACCAATTCATCAGTGTAAAAGGAAGTTCCTCAGGAACTGAACTCACTTCTCTGTCATCCCCATTGCATTAGTTTTCTGGGGCTGCCCTAACAAAGTTCTATTTACTGGGGGGCTTAAAAACAACATGCATTTATCCCTTCATAGTTCTGAAGGCTGGAAGCCTGAAATCAAGGCATTGGCAGGGTTGACTTCTTCTGGAGAATCTGAGGGAAAAAACCATCCCACATCCTTTTCCCAACTTCCGGTGGCTCCCAGAAATCCTTGGGGTTTTTCTGTTCACAGCCGTGTCACTCCAATCTCTGCCTCCGTGGTCACACACAGTCTCTCTGTGTGTTTGTATTTCCAATCTTCTTCTCCATATAAAGACATTGGTCACTGGATTTAGGGCTCATTCAGATACAGTATAAAACAAAGTTTTAACTTTTTATTTTGAAATAATTGGAGACCCATAGACATTGCAAAGATGAGACATAAAATAGAGAGATCTAGTGTGTTCTGCATCCTGCTTCTCCTAATGGTTACTTCTTACAAAATTATGATACAATATTGAAATCAAGAATTTGATATTGGTTTAATAAGTGTATATGATTCCATGTCATTTTATCACACATCTAAAATTATGTAATTCCTACTGCAGTCAAGAATTATTTCATTCCCATGCCTTGGGAGGCCGAGGTGAGTGGATTGCCTGAGCCCGTGGGTTCGAGACCTGCCTGGGCAACTTGGTGAGACATCATCTCTACAATAAAATCGAAAAATCAGCCGGGCATGGTAGCGCATGCCTGTAATTCCGGCTACTCGGAAGGCTGAGGCGGAAGGATCGCCGGAACCCAGCAGGTCGAGGCTGCGGTGGCTGGGATCAGCCACTGCGCTCCAGTCTGGGCTACAGAGTGAGACTCCAACTCAAAAAAAAAAATTATTTCATTATCACAACAATTTTCTTACAAGTAGGCTCATCTACTCTCCTGTCCCTCCCATCCCTAACCCCTGGAAACCAGTAATCTGTTTTTCATCTACATAATTTTATCACTTTAAAATTGTTACATAAGCTGGGCTCGGTGGCTCAACTGTAATCCTGCACCTTGGGAAGCTGAGGTGAGTGAATTGCCTGAGCCCGTGGGTTTGAGACCCGCCTGGGCAACTTGGTGAGACTTCATCTCTACAATAAATAAAAAAATTAGCCGGGTGTGGTAGCGTGCGCCTGTAGTTCCAGCTACTTGGAAGGCTGAGGCGGAAGGATCGCCGGAGCCCAGCAAGTCGAGGCTGCGGTGGCCGGGAGCGGCCACTGCCTTCCAGTCTGGGCGACAGAGTGAGACTCCAACTCAAAACAAAACAAAACAAAACAAAACAAAAACCCCCTCTTTATTCCTTTTTATTGCTTCATAGTATTCCATGTTTGGATGTATCACAGTTTGTTTGACAAGCAACCTATTGATGGGTATGTTGGCTCTTTTCAGTTTTTGGTTAGTACAAGTAAAGCAGCTATGAACAATTATATCTGGGCTTTTGTATGGACATAATTTTTCATGCATTAGGGCCAAATACCCAGAAACATAATTGCTGGGTCATATATTAGGTATATTTTGTTTAGTTTGTTTCATGAAACTTACAAATCATTTTCTGGAGTAGCTGTACCATTTTACATCCCACCACCAATGTATGAATGGTCCATTTTCACTGCATCCTTATCAACATTTCTGCAAAACCTCATTTTTTGCGGGGAGGGAGAGGGGTCTCACTCTGTTGCTCAGGCTAGAGTGCAGTGGCAAGATTACAACTCATTGCAGCCGTGACATCCTGGGCTCAAGGTGATCCTTCCACCTTAGCTTCCTGAGTAGCTGGGACTGCAGGCATGTGCCCCATGCCTTACTAACTTTTTTGATTTTTTTTTTCTGCTATTTGCCCAGCAGACTGATGTCTACTTCTGGGCTCAAGCGATCCTCTCACTTCAGCCCCTCAAAGTGCTGGATTACAGGCATGAGTCACCATGCCCAGCCTAGTATGATCTCTATTTTCAAATAAGGCCGCATTTATAGGTACCAGGAATTAGGAGTTGAGAATGTCTTTTTGAAGAATGCAATTCAACATGCAATACTTTTCTTTACTTGTTTGGGCCATGGTGAGTCTAGTTTTGGAGTTTTGCCTTCTGAGAAGAGGGTTTGGATTCATAACTGGATTATAGATGCCCTTAATTGTTGAATTGGGCTCCCAGGGATAGGTAAGCAAGTTCATGTCATTTGAAAAAGCATTATCGAGTCCTTCAGAACTCCACTCAGATCTCCCAAGTTTCAAAGCTTTGATAATCTTAAATATTCTCAAGAGGCAGAATGGCAAGATGTCTCTCTATGCGGTTTTTCCATGACTGTCCTTTGTCACTGTCTCAGTATTGACAAGGGAAAGGAAAACAGAGCAGGAAAACTGGGATTATAAGTTAATTGAGGGAAGGAATGCTTTCCTAAGTTATTTCCATGCTCCCTTCAGAGTGTAGGCTGAGAAAAGTGCTTAGCAAGGTGAGTTGGATGGATGAGTAGCCTAAACGGGGGGGACTTGGGTGCCCCATAGAAGCTGGGGAGAGTCAAGATTGGTGTTATATGTGTCCCTACCATTACCCAAAGTTATATGCTTTCATAATGGGTTCCCAATATCTGGACAAGGTCAATTCTGTTTTTTGTCCCTTACTGAAGGTCTGTTCCATTCCATTTCTATATACAGGCACTTCTGTTTAGCCAGATGGAGGAGGAGAGCCCAGGAAAATATCATGTCTGCCCCCACGTTCTGTTCAGCAATGTGGGTGATGGAAGGCAGAGTAGTATAGCTCTCAAGAGGACTTGAGATTTGGTCCTGAGCCACTTACATATCAGCTGTGTGGCTTTGACCTATTACTTTTCTTCTCAGCTTTTCTTATCTCTAAACTGGGTATAAGATGTTTCTTTATGTGAATTTATTTTGAAGTATAATGTATATACAGCGATGTGCACAGGTCATGATTGTACAACTCTAAATTTTCACAAAGTGGCTCACCCCATATTGAGGAATGGAATATACTAAGCCTAGAATCCCCTCTTGTCTTCTATCAGGCATTACCTCACTCACTTCTCTCCTAGCCAAGAGCAAACACCATTCCAATTTCTGATTTTATTTTCACCTGGTTTTGAACTTTATATGGATAGAAACATATAGAATATATCTCTGGCATTTGGTTTATCTTACTTAACATCATGTTTATGAATTCATCTATGTTAGTAGGTATGTTAGTTGCAATTTGTTAATTCTCCTTCTTGAATAGTATTTTAAAGAGCAAACATACCACAGTTTAATAGCCTATTCTGTTGTTGGAAGACCTCTGGATTGTTTCTAATTTGGCTCTCATAAATAAAGCTGCTTCAAACGTTCTTGCATGGCTTTTTGGCTTTTTGGTGGGCAGTGACTCTCAGTCATTTGGGAGTGGGATCTCCAAGTTATGGAATATAGACATCTCTCAGCTTTGTAAAACCTGCCCAATATTTTAACAAATTTTTAAATTTATAGTGAAAATTAAATTAGGTGATGGAAAGTGCTCAGTCTTATCCTTGGCAGATAGGAGTCCCTCAATTCATGTTTAAAAGTACAATGAAGGCATAATATTCCATTAATCCAAGTCCCTGCTGAACTTAAACATTTCCATATTGCTTGCTCACTTAGGTTGCTTTCATTGTTTCGTTATTTTATATCATGTCGCAGTGAGTGACTTTCTTTATAGTTGTTTTCTTCTTTTGAAAAATTTGCTTTGGTAGATTTTCAGGGTAGGTTGAAATTGGATCAAAGGATATGTGATTTTAAGAACTGTCACCCTTAAAAAGGACTATGAGGGATTACTGAGTGGGAGGAAGCAAGGAAGCAAGCCTCTTCTACTATGGTTCAGGAGAGTGAGGTTTGTGAAGTCAGGTGGCTTGTGAGTTTCAGGGAGAAGTGTCTTGCAGAGGATGGCAGTGTGGGGTAGAATAGAACATGATTGTTATACACTTTTCCCTGTTATACAGGGAGAAGTGTCTTGCAGAGGATGGCAGTGTAGGGTGCATCTTAGGGCAACTACATATTTTATTTAGTCCCTTCAAAGAGAAATGGGATGGTTGGAAAAACAATGCATAATAACCAATGTATAATTAAATTAGGAAGACGAGATAAACCACAGTTGCAAAGATTCATTTTATTCATTCCTTCCCAATATTTAGCATGATTAAAGCCAAAGAAGAGAAGGGGGCATGAGGTGTGGGGAGGAGGGTGAGGGAAACAATAGGGGTAGGTCCCCTACAGAAAAAAAAGGGCTTGAGGTCGAAGGAGGGCCGGAGGCAGGGCTGGGCATGAGAAGTTGGGGGGGGGTCCTGCAAGGCTTCTCCCTCTAACATTCATTCGTATTAAAGCTCTTGATGAGGGGCAAGCTCATGCTCGAATGGCTGATCTCACATTCAAAATTTTTGTGCCTAAGATAGTCTGAACTGCTCATCGTCATCATGCTGGCGAGGTTGTAGGTGCTGTCCTTGCTGTCCTGCTCTGTGAGACTGTTCTGGACATTAGCTGTCTGGGGGACACCATCCGCCTTCCACTTGATAGTTACGTCTTTTGGGTAGAAGCCGTTCACCAAGCACAAAAGAGTGGCGTCTCCTGTCTGCAACTGCTCCGAATGTGGTGGGAAGATGGTGGCATCAGGCTTAGCCACATCCCCTGAGGAAAGAAGCACAGAGGATGGAGTTTAAATCACAGATTCATTCTCCGCTTGGGCACATTGTGGACAATCACAGAATATTTTAGGGACAGGTAGGCAGAAAGCAACAAGCTTGTCATGTATAGTTGTAGCAATGAAGCAAGGAAGCATATTTACAATCTTGCTGATTTTACTTTCTCCCTAGCCTCTCCCTGGCCCTTAAGAGAATTCTAAATTTTTTTTTTGAACGCTTTGAAGTCATTACAAGGCCTTTGGCTGCTTTTTGGACCTTAATTTTCTTTTCCTCAAGTTTACTGTGGTCCTTGCTTCTCACAGTAAACTCAGTGATTCAAGCAAAGAAACATGGTCCATTTCATCTGATCCCCTCAGAGGTTAGAAGTCAGAACAGGTCTTGACCCCTCTGTATGGAAAAAGACCAGGCAGCAACTGTGTCAGCAAAAGCCTCTATCAGCTTTTATTTCCCCTATACTTCTCCCAGAACTGTGCTATGATAACAGGCTCCCCCAGGCTTCTTTTGGCTTGGCTTAGCCAATCCCCTGATCCTGCAGAGTGGACCCCAACCCCTGTGTCTATGCCTGGGTGGATGATATCAGCCACCCACCCTCATATAGTGCCAGCAACTATCCCAACTCTCCCTGGCCTGATGGCTTGTAATGATATGAGGCAATTTTCAGCCAGACCATAAGGGGCCAACTGTAATATTGGCCACCTGCTTAGGAGGAATGGGCTAGCTTTGCTTCTGACCATGAGCAGCTGTCAGATGGCCTCTTGGAAATCCCCCTCTGCAGGGATTCAAGGCCTCAGGTAGGAAAGCAATAGTTACCATTTAAAAACATATATATCAAGACTTCTTTGCCGGGAGAAGTCAACAGATAACATGTACAGGTCTTTGAAAAGCCAAACTCATTGTTAACCAAGCAGTTCAATATAAGAAACTGAATTTTTATATTTAATATTTTCTCCGCTTTTAACCTTTGTTACTATTTTTTCTAAGTAATTGTATCATAACCTTGCCAGAAAAATAATGTGATCTCAAAAAAAATCTTCATAAGGGGAAAACATCTTATGAAGATACACTTATCTGATTGAATTTTTAATTGCTTTAAAATTTCCATCTGGCATTAGCATATTAAACTATTATTATAACTGATATGGAAATTATGTCAAGATATCTTATTAATTTTAATAGAGTTTAAAACTTTTTAAGGGAGTTTTTGAAATGCCCTAAAACAGCTCTAAAATAGTTTAGAACAGTTAAATAGTTTTAAATAGTTCTAAATTCATTTTTAAAAAATATATGTTTTTTATTTTAAAATCGTAGGGTACCGTTAAGGGTTAGGTATACAAATATGCATTGTGCAGATACCCTTGTTGATGAGGTGGGCCCCCCTTCCCCAGATAGATATTGACTACCATTAATCCCACCTCCCTTCCCCTCCCTGCCCCCCTCCATAGTTTCCTACCACCATCAATCCTTTTCTTATAGTATTATGGTAGTTTAAAAGAGCTTTATGAATGCTCTAAAATAGTCCTATAAAATTGTTGCAGACCAAAATAATCCTTGTGTCACTTTTAAATTCAGCTGGAGTAAACAACAGCAGCAACAACAACAAATTGTTAAACTATTTTATAGGTTATCATATTTAAATATATTTGAAAATATGCTTATATTAAGCTTTTATTAATTGCGTTTATGTAGGATTAGATATTTTGCACAATGAAATATAAGCCTATCCAAACAGTGCAAATCTTCATCTGTACTATTTGAAAATTTAAAATGTCACAAATTTCTTTTATTTTTCAATTGGCAATAATTACACCTCAGATAAACCCCACTGGCTATAATACTGCCACTGCTGAAAGCCTTATTATTATTTTTTTAAAAAATTAAGTTAATATAACTTTATGATATTAAAACAAACTCAATAAAAGCGAATTGATAAAGACCTGGGTAGCCAGATTGTTGGCATTAAATCCAAGTTTTGCTATTGTAAATTTAATCCTGACAGAATTATATGTATTTCTTTCTTTTGGATTGTTATTTTAATATTTAAATACATTTGATGAGAGGATTTTGAAATCGTTAAATAACACTGAAAAAAACTCTTTAAGTTTTTTATAATCCTCTAATGAAATTTTCATTAATGAGATATAATACTTAATGTAAATTTTATTTTTGAAAACTCGAATAAATCAATTTTCTCTCTGTTTTTCCCATGTTAGCTCAGTGTTCACTACATTTCTTCTCTTCTCTTTCTATTAGGGTTACTATTTGTATCACTGTGGGTGGAAAGCTGTCCACAGCAGAGATAATCAGGCTAACGTGGGGGTGCTGTGGCCACTAACAGTAAGTCATGACATGGCTGCTGAGGTCATTCAATCACAAAGGGAGACTGCCATGAGGGCTCTAGACCGCTAGCTGTGCCATGGTCTTCTTGGTGGAGTAAAAACACGGGCAAGTAATAACTGTTGGTAATAAAATAATATACTCTTCAAAATATTTCCTATTTTCCTGAGAAATAGGTCATTGAAAAATGTAATTATTTCCTTCATTTAAACAAATGTCTTTGAAACTGAGGCTTTTGGGAACAACTGTCTTTCTATTATTATGAGAAGAGGTCATTTTATATTTAGTCTAATGTACAAAATGAATTTTTAAAAAAGAGTTATCTGTCAAGGTTTTATTTCTATAGAATCTCTCATTTTAACAGTTTATCATTCATTTTAGACTCTAAAAATAACATTGTTGCTGATTCTCAAGTAAGTGACTCTTCTACATGGATTTACTTTTCTAATTTTTTTTTTTTTTGAGTTGGAGTCTCACTCTGTTGCCCAGACTGGAGTGCA